TCGTCAGCTGGATGTACCTGCTTCCCAGTGAGTCATGTTGTTCCCACCAGGATTTGGACTCCCGAGCGACCGCTTCAAACACCAAAGCATTATCCACTACACCACCGAGTCACGATAGCCACTTCTTGTGTGATGAGTATAGTTTTAGTTTAATTGTTGATATAATTAGAACACAGATAATATCGAGGCATCTCACAGGAGTCCATATGCCAGCCAATAGAGACCGATCGATTCGGTCCAACCAACGATGGTGTGATATAAAAACGACAATTATGCGAATGACTATACTCACCGCACAAGAAGTGGCTATCATGACTTGGTGGTGTAGTGGGTGACGCTGTGGTGTTTGAAGTGGTCACTCCTGAGTCCGAATCCTGGTGGGAAAAACGCCACTCACTGGGGAGCAGGTACATCCAGCTGACGAGTCCCAAATAGGACGGGATGCGCATCGTAGGTTGATGTGGTTTGTTAAAGACTCCATGGGAAATTGTCTACCAATCTGTTGTCATTTCATCGGCATAAGAGAAACAGTACTCAGGTTATTCTCTTCTGATAAATAAGAAATTTGTAAGAAAAATTAGTCAGCATACTAATAAATGTAACAAGTAATATATCTTTCTGGATAAATTATGTTTAGCCTCACGGATTAGCATCTCATGCATGATATTAGATTAATGAGCAGGTAAAGAAGTTCTGACATTTTCATACATGATATATATGTCAGATGAAAATCTCACCTTATTTTAACATACCTATCTACCTGATAGTGAGTGATATACATATGTGTAAGGTCTCTTCACAAGTGTACATTCTTGTTCCACTGTACCATTATTGATGACAATATATATTGATAAAATCAAGATTTATCTTCAACTATACACTTCAATGGTATACATAGATATTGAGTACACTTGAAAATATGTTGGTTGATATATATGTTGATATTGAATATGTTCTGATGTCTGATTTTATGCAACTTTTTCTTGTAAGTGATTGTGAATTTTCATCCACCAAGAAAAATTTATGCATTACCTACCTATCTTAGTGGTAGTAGTAGTAGTAGTAGTAGTAGTAGTAGTAGTAGTAGTAGTAGTAGTAGTAGTAGTAGTAGTAGTAGTAGTAGTAGTAGTAGTAGTAGTAGTAGTAGTAGTAGTAGTAGTAGTAGTAGTAGTAGTAGTAGTATTCTGTTTAGGCATTAATTTAAAATGTATAAGCTAGAATAATGATAATGGATAATGGAGTTAAAGGAATTATGATTTTAGTGAAAATTTGAGATGAAAAATTTAATAGTTTGTAAGAAAAATTATCATTGAATAACAGACTGATCTAATAACTCAGAGTGATATAACCACCGTACAGCCCGTTTCTCGTATTTTGCATCACCTGCTTTCATCGATGTAATCTAACCAGCAAAATCTACAAACCAGTCTGAGTGGTTTCCAATTACTTCTATTACTCAGTAGTAGATGTGATTAGTTCATGATTCTTTTGTATCATGTATCAGAGATTACGCCCAGTGATTTCAGCTGGGTAGGAGTAGTTTCCAATCGAAAGCCTTTTGATACCATAATTAGGTGAGAGTTGAGAAACCACTCATCTGTGTGAGAAATGTCATCATCGAGCATACGATTTGTAAGTCATTTGCAGACTGATCATTCTGATGAGCAAGAAGCCTTAGAACTGGGTTTCATGCTTGTTGGCACTCATCAGCGACGAGTGTCTACAACATCGAAAGAATCGATAATCGAGAAAAGTTTCTTAGCATTTGTATCGAGGCAGCATGAAAATGGTTCTTCTCTAGCAACCAATCAATATATCGAAGCTACACACTAGTCGAGTTAGAAGATAAATGGTTTATTAAGTAGCGAATATTTCAAAGTTTACAAAATTGATCAAGTGATTCGATTCTATCTCATTACATAACATGAAAGCTTATGAACGATAGATGGAGATGGAGATGGAGAAAGACAGCACATTTTTATAAATGGCTAAACACTATGCTAAAACTACATTCACATAAGCCATATTTATATACACTTTGTAGAACAATAACCGAAAACATTCAATTACTGATTGTTAATATATTGGAAGATCAATGTGAGCAATTTCACGAATTACCTCATATTCGTTGTAGCATTCATCAAGCAGTATTGCGTAACTGGCTACCTCTTTCTCACTTCAACATTTCCAGTTAGTTGTTAGGAAACATCTATTTTAGACATATGCAACCAGAATAACCATTAATACAGTGATGTTATTGTTCATCCAACTAATGAGACAACGTTTGTTTCTACATCAGCAGCCCTGTAGGGAAATTCAAAACCGGATAGATGGGAGTTTTAACAGTTTTTCAGCCTTTGGCTTTCAACCCTGATTACAAATTTGAACAGATATTAAACACGTGGAGGAGTTATTGGGCAGTTTGACAAGGTAACCCTTCTTCCAATCAATGGCCAGGTACCTTCTCTTCCTTCCACACCTTCTGCAATAGTGGTGTGGTGTGAGCATGTTCGCTGTTGTCTCTGCGTCTGTTCTCAGTGCTTCCGGTGGGATCGTATCTGGTCCTGCTGCTTTCCCACATTTCAGTAGCTTTATGGAGCTCAGGACTTCGGCTACTACTATCAGCTTCCATGTATCCAATGAGATCGATTCCCTGTCCTGTCTTCTTTCTTCTTCCTTTCTTATAAGGTTGTGCAGGTTTCTTTCCACATAGCCCTCAAAGACTTCCAGTGTTCTTCCACACATGTTTCTTCAGGGATGTTCCTCGATATCTTCCACTTTGTCTTGATGGCTGGCTGTCGCGAAGATTTCCTTTGTGGTGTCGTCCTTCAGTTGAACTGCAATCTATCACCAGCTTCCTTGAAGGCTTTTACCTTGATTTGGAAGGTTCCTTGCACTAGATAGTGAGTGGTGTGAACCTACATCTGCTTCTCTTCTTGTCCTTGTGTCAGGTAGACTTCTTCTCCATTTTTTTGATATTGAGATAAAGTCGATCTGATTTTTAGTGTGTCCCGGTATCTGGTGAAATCCATGTCGCTCGCTCTGTGAATATCCTTGTGCTTGAACACACTGCCTGACTCCAATCATTAAATCGTTGAATGCACAGAATTCTGCAAAATGTTCTCCATTCTGGTTCATCACCTCAACGAGCGCTTCTCAACCCATGATGGATGAGTTCCCTTCCTGTGTTGTCCCCTCCCAGTTTGGCATTTATGTCGCCAAGTGTGGTGGGGTCTTGTCCAGTGTTGATTGAAGTTGTCTGTAGAATTCCTCCTTTTTATCTTGCTCTGCATTATTTGTAGGTGCGTGGAGTAGCATTGTATGATTGTGACCTTCCTTCCTTCCTTTTGAGTTGAACCTTGCTGTCGTGATCCTGCAGGAGGAGATTGGTTCCCACTGCATGAGAGAGAGCCTTCGAAGCTGTTGGGGGCATCATGATAGCCACTCCAAAACTCAGTGTGCTCGTGGTTGTTGTCTGGGTGATAATATCGGAGTAGATTATTGATTCTCCAGTTGACAGTTTGGAGAGTCCACTCCCATTCCATCTGCTTTCGCAAATTCCAGGCACTTCGATGTGATACCTCTTCATCTCGTTCGCAATCTGGGCTGCCTTACTGGGTTCAAACATACTGTGGACATTCCATGTCCCCACGTTTACTTTCGCTTTCATCGCGAGAGAAGACAAATCGGTCAATTGGCTTCGCGAAGGCTTTCACAAACTTGCATCATTTCACCTCTCCGATTCCAGTGAAGAATAATTTTGTTATTATTTTTTATATTTCGTCTGTGCTTTGAAGTTTGTTTAGCGGTTAGATTTGTTTTACGGGGTATGGTTGCTAGCCCTATGCCCAACCTTCCCTCTTCACCCGGGCTTACGACCAGCTAGTAACTAGTGAATTAGTTAAACAGGTGAGGTTCAATAAAATCATAATGGTAATATATGATGAGATGTTTATGACAGAGAATCTCACTCACAAGGATATATATTCAACAGATGGCTATGATGAAGACAGCGACCTCAACAATTTCCTCTCAACACATGGATTAGACTTTGCTGAGTGGATACAGATTGCTTCCAGTATGTGTAAAAGGTGAACTGTGTGTTAAGCCTCTGAATCCAACACTTTAATAGCTAATAATAATAATAATAATAATAATATTTTAATTGGTATAAATTTTAAACAAATACCAGTTGAACATTTACACTAATTGTATTTTGATTATCTAAGCCACATATTCTGCCAGTTTACTGTTGTATATTGCTGCATCACTTATGTATCACTTATGTAATCGGTTAAAATTATTCACCTGATTCATTCATCAGATTTCTACCATTGGATTCAATGTCTATTCATTGATTCCATGTATTCACTTTAACTCCTTGAAATTCATTCAATACTTAATCAATTAAATTTAAATAACAATGAAAAACAATGAGACAATCAGACAATTGATTGTTTATTGTTCGAATTTGTTTTACCCGTTCCCGTTAAATTATTTCCTTAGTCAATTGGTGGGGGAAGCATAAATTCACTGTTTCACTCTTTGTCGGTATGAATGAGTAAGTTATTTGAACTACAGCGGTTGATGACTGTCTGTCATTGAGTAGTATAGCCATTTCCTCAGTTGATTTACCACTCAAATTCCATATGTAACTCAGAATTATTTCAGATCAATAAATTGTTAAATTCACTTGGCGTAGAAACTAGTGCAGAGTAATTTATACGTGTCTTATAGGGAACAGGTTTTATCCCTTAGTGTCTGATGAAATGTGCTATATGGTTTGTCTGAAAACTAACTCAGAACTCTTGGATAGCCACTGGTTTGATATCTTTCATGGTTACCTCACCTATGAAGATTGACTTAAGCAACTGAACCTATCCTCTCACAGACAGAGTGGAGATCTAATCATGCTACAAGGGATTTGAAGAGGTGATTTCGAACCTGATGTGTCGTTATTTTTGCTTTCCACTCAATCAGAACACCTCAGTGGACATAAGAGCTGAATATACGAGGCAAAGATGAAAGCTCTCTCCATACACAACTAGTTATCTCACCGAGTAATCAACTCCTATAACAAGTGGTATCCTCATTGTCAAGTGACACATTCAAAAGAGGACTTGTTGGTTGGTGGTGGGCTCAACCCCCTTACCCGGTAATCCGTCTCAGTCCATGATGAAAATTGCTTTGAAATCAATTAATCCCAACAAACCACTCTCTCTCTCTCTCCCACAACCACTCATAGCATGCTCCTTCAATACTGAAAATTCCACACCTTAAATATGCATCAGAACTTACTTAACCTGACCGGTTTGCAATATCATCATTTCCATGGAGTACACAATGTACCCTGTTAGACTATCTCAAACATTTTCTCCTCACACTTAGAAATTTGATTAGTTTTAGTTTTATTACTTAACTCAATAGTGAGTAGTAAGTCTTACTTTCATTTAAATAAAAGCAATGGTGACATTTGATGAAAACTGAATACTTTTTCAATTTCATTTTCGCCTAACTAAATTCCTTCTTAATTTATTTTATTGGATATGTTACATATTGAAAAAGTCATATTTACTGGCTGACTAGATTTTTTACTGCTGACGTTGAGACTGCTGTCAGTCGTGGAACCTGGAGTTCTTCGACTCGATGTTTGGTGGGGTCATGAGTATGCGCTACTGAGACGTCGCGTACTTACAAAGAAATCGCTGTTCAGTGCTCCCAATTCTTCCTTGGTTCTCTAAATTGAAGTGAGTCAGTGGTGAATACCAACTTGAAGTTTAAATAGTTTCCTCAACAGTAAGGTGAGCATGACCGAGAAATCAGTACAAGTAAGCCCTTCAACTCTGAGAAGATAAAAGTAGTCAACATTCATCCAGTGATCATACCCCAATCGAATTCCGTTACGAACAATAAAACTTCGTGATTAGTATACATTCTTCTATATACTAGACTGTACCTAAGACATGAAATATAATTTTACTTCTACTGTCATTGATATCAGGAGAAATTGAAAGTGATGCTTCCAAATGAATAAAGTTACATATCTCAACCAAAACGCTTATCGTCAGTAAAACTGTTACCCTGTTCTCAGTCTCCATGATCACTGTACAACCTACAATATCTTGGTGAAACACTCATAAAAAACGTCAGTGATGATTGAAGACAGTTTGGTTAGTTGACACTACACTACACTACA